ATCCCAAGTGAGGCAAGAGGTCAATATCTAAATTAGAATAGTTGGGTGAAATGTATTTGAAAATAATATTCTGAAATGCTCAACATGATCTCATATTTGTTGGCAAATAATACTGTAACACTTGCAATGTCTTTTTTTTTTTTTTTTATCTTGGCTTACCAATGAGATCCATGTTAGTTTGGGATTTCATTTTGTATTTCATAGAAGACAGTGATATTTATAAATATGATGATAATGTGAATAATGACAAGGATAATGAAATATTATACCTTCAGGACATTTTCTAGAAACTCACAGCTCTTCTATCATAGTGATATGGTAGGAATTTTGCCCAATTATTTACTTGCTATTTTGGATAAAAGCTAGCTATTTCCTTTACTATTGCACATGACAACTTTTCTTTTAAAACACTTCCTATTTGCAGATAGACAAATGCAATATTTACATTTATTTGTATTTTTAAATTTTACCTGCAGATGGGTATAGGAGCAGGTATTACTCCAGGGTTACATTCTTGGAAGATGTGGTTACACAGCAAAGCTTCAGCAGCTGGCCTGCAGAACGGGCTCACTGCTTTCAGCTCATTCCAGGCAGTGTGGACCAGGAGTTCCTGGGCCTCCTCGGGGTCAGTGTAGGAGTTGTTGAAGAAAACAAGAGCATCTTTTGCCAGAACAGCATTACACACCTCCCCTCTGTACTGGGTGCAGTAGCCTTTGTTATCTTTCTGTGGTTTACTGAAAGAAGCAATGAACAATATTTCCAATCACATGTTATTTCTTAGCTGTCTTTTTTTCTTTCCAGTTTCCACATCTGCATCACAGAAATAGGAGACAATTGTACTAACAAATTGGTTGAAACATTCCCTGTGAATACTGTCTTCATTTTCCGCTGTAATTATATCACCTCTGGCTACTCCAGAGAGCTATTATGAAGAGCATATGTGATAACAGATGTAGAAAGATTTAGAAACTATCAAGAGCTGAATAGATCTGGGAACTTTTATTATTTATATTGTAAATGAATTTGACTATTCTTATTTAAGCTGCCTCACATACTTCTTAAAACTAATTTGACATAAGCAAATAAATGCATCTAGAAAACATTCATCATGATGATTAATAAATGATTGAGTATACTTACTTTTATTCAAAAAGCTTGTAGCTTTATGAACACAGTTTATTTGGTATAAGAGTTAACTACCTGAATTTTGTAGCACATATACATCTTTGCAACAACTTCTAGACTCATATTTTTTTCATTTAAACTGTTTTCCAGCATTCCATTAAAGAATAAAATGAAAAATGTAGGAAGGAGAAAGCATGAAGTCAGATTTCCAGCTAAAATAGGTAACAAGAACAAGGGGTGGATACTATATAAGGATTAAGGGAGCACTATATCAGGAAGATATAATACTCATATGTTCACCAAATAAAGGAGCATCAAAATATATAAGGCAATTAATATCAAATCTGAAAACAGATACTGGGCAAAACACATTAGTAACTGGGGACTTTAACACCCCACTTTTACCAATGGACCGATCAGCTAGACAGAAAATAAATGATACAATAGCCTTAAAGAATTAGACCACATGGGATTAATAGAAATGTATAGGCCTGTGCCCCAAAAAGCTGAATACACATTCTTTTTTAAGTGCACTTGGGTCATTTTCCAGGATTAACCACATTTTGGGTCACAAGTATGAACAAATTGAGCAAAGGAATTTTTGTCCAAAGGGAGTAAAGTGCTCTCTCATCAAAACTGCAAGATGACAGCATCTTCTCTGGCCACTGTGGTATCAAATTATCAATCAACCACAAAAATGAAGCAGGGAAAACCTCCAATATGTGAAGACTGTACAACACATTACAAATTGACTATTGGGTTAATGAAGAAATTAAGAAATACCTCAAAATGAATGATAATGAGGACCCAGCCTTCCAGAACTTATAGGACACAGCAAAAGAAGTACTATGAGGGTAGTATGTAGCAATACAGGCCCACATCAGGAAAGAATAAAGAGCTCATATAAATAATCCTGTCTCTCACCTTGTAGAATTAAAAAGCACTATTTATGATAGCCAAGTTACAGAAATAGTCTAAGTGCCCCAAAAGAGATGAGTGGACCAGGAAGATGTGGTATATATTCACAATGGAATACTACCCAGCTATTAAAAAGGATAAACTATTGCTATTTGTGACAAAAGTTTATGGAGCTGGAGGAAATTATGATAAGCAAATTAAGTCAGAAGGAGAAAGACATATAACCAATGGTGTCACTTATTTATGGAATACAGAGAAATTAAACAGAATCAGATAAAGCCAAACTAGTCACAAACCCTAGAAATTTGACTGTAGAATTGAGGCTACCAGAGGGGGAGAGAAGCGGTGGGAACAAAGTGGGAGGGAGCACAATGGGTTATGGAGGTAGTCTGCCTTTTGCAAATGATAAGACCCCTCCCCAATCACCTAAAGTCTTGTTTCTCTAAGGGCAGCCCTTGGGATTGCTGATGGAGCAAGACCAGAAAGAAGCAGCTGGTCCTGTTTCTCATTCAAACAGTGGGGCAGAGGTCACAGGGATCTGGTCACAGAATGCTGGTTATTTTGGAATGATCTGCCAGAATATCTCCTAAAATGCTAGTTAATATTGCACATGGAGCCGGTCCCTTTCTTGCCTCCTGACAAACTAAACCTGGCTGACCTCCCTTTCTGTAAGGTTTCTCTTTTTAGAAGTAACAGTGGATATTTGATCCCAAGTCCCTCTTTTAATTTCTTTAATAACAGATAACTCTCCTTGGTTAAATGTAATATTTAAAGGAATCTATGCATTTCCCTCTTATTTTTCTCTGCTTTAAACTGTACCATTCACATTCAGTAGAACGTTTTAAAATGTCATCTTGCAGTTTTGATAAGGGAGACCTTTACTCCTTTGAACAAATAATCCTTTGCTCAAGGATACAGCCAGATGTTCAATGGTGGATTTGGGGGTTAAAACAACCTCACTAATCCAGTAGGAACCCCACATATGTCTTTTAGAACTCTGATAGCCACATAAATCTCAATACCTATTGTCAGATAAATCAAGGCATTGAGACTATATGAACTTGGATAAGATTTAGATCAAATTTTCTTATGCAATTATTTCATTTCATGAAATTAGAATCAATAGGAAGAGTTCTAGGTCTTGCTCAGCTGTGCTACGGATCTGGATTAATGTAGTTTATGAATCTGAGTTCTTGAGTTTTTCAATCTGGGCTCAGGCAGAGGCTCTGTAGTTTGCTAGCTACGTGGCCTGGGCAACTCTTGCTGCATCAACTTCCTCATGTGAAAAACATTAGTAGTTCTTGCCCCATAAAGTTGCTGAAACAATAATATGAGAAAAGTGGTGCTTATAAATGTAACACAAAATCATCTGCTCTTATTGTTATTCCTACTATTGATTAATCAGTCTGAATCTCAGTTTCATCATTGATAAAGTTAGATAAAAATAGTTAATCGCACTTCACAGATTTTTATAAAAGTCAATTTCATGCAAGGAAAACATTCTAAGTTTGCAAAATGTTATATAAAGAGTAAAACTTTCTTATCTACAGATTACAGCTATTGGACAGCTTAGGAGTCAGTAATTTACTAGTTGTATAAGTCACTGAAACAATCCAAAGACATTCTCTTCCTTTTTTTCCTGTACAATAGGGATAAAACATTGTTGCTATTTCATTAAGCATAGATTTAAATAACACACATGTAGCATTTAGCACAGTGCCTGATACATGGTACTCAATGGACTTTACCTGTCTTCACCTTTATCATCTGATAATAGTGTTATAATAGTATCATCTTATAATAGTAAAAGGCTTAGAAATTAGGCATAATCCAAAATATTACAGTATTCAGAAAATAAATAGCATGCCAAACACAAAATAAAACAATATAGTAATAATATCTTACCTCCATTCTATTGACAGGAAAGAAAGTTTCCACAGGAAATGAAATTAAAAGGAGAAAAGAAACAAAATTTAGTGCATTTTTATCTTATGGCTTGCAAGAGATAATTTGATACTTCTATGAGCTAAGTTTCTGTAAAGTTCTTTGCTTTTGCCAGGAGGCAAGATGCTGTATTGAACAGGCTGATTTAGAGAAAGAAATTAAGAAAACATTGAGTGTCTCCAGTGACTGAATTTTTCTTTTTAAATTGAGTCAGCTATAAGCATCATCAGCCCAGGTAGTGTCAGAGCTCCTAATTTTACTCTATTATCACAAAGGGACTCTGTATAAAGAAGGTGGTTACACTGGGAGAGGCAAGACAGGTGGGTGGGGGTGACAGGACAGTCATTCTGCAGACATGCTGGCTTCATGGCTCAGTGACCTGTGCACACAGCATCTGCTGTCACCATCTTAAAATACTTAATTTTTTGAGAAGGGGTCCCCCATGTTGAATTTGTCCTGGGTCCAACATTTTAGGTCCACAGTGATGAAAACTCGAGGCAGGAAGGGACTGCGCTTTCCTCTTGTGAATTACGGGGCTCCCAGCATGAATGGCCCCAACTGGGACTCTCTCAAGAGATCAGTCCCCTTGGGAGAGTGTACTGTCACCAGCATTTCTGAATGATCCCATCTCTTTTTTTTTTTTTTATGGAAATCTATAACTTCAAATTCCTTTCCAAGCACTTTGTCATTCACTTCCTCCTGTGCCCTCACCCCCAAAAGTAAGAAGTAAAACATACACTTTGTCTAAAACCAATTTGCCTTATTACAAGCTCTGCTAATGTTGAGGTCCAATTCCCTTTAAAGGCTTTGGGTCCATTTGGGTGCTCTGCTGTTGGCATTTTAAAGAGTTCTAAAAAGAATTCCTCTGACAAGTCAATCATCTTGTAAAAACCTTGTAAACGAGTTTATATTTCAACTAATTCCCTTTCACATTAGTCAGAGTTGGTGACTATGAGGTTGTTGTAATCTTGAGTGTGTAATTATTGATGTCTTTATGAACTTTTTAATCAAAGAGTCTGAAGATGTAGCTTAGAAACCAACCTACACAAGAGACCTAGATGACTCAAACCTTCTGACACACCTGCCCCTGTGGACTGAACAGATGGAAGGAGACATCATGAAATCCCTCCAGAGAAAAAGGTATGTAATTTTTTTTCTTTTTTAAAATTTTATATATTTTTTACATCAGTCTTCATTTTTATACCATGTATCATCTCGTGACACTCCTAACACCAATTCACCCTGTACCATCACCATAGTCCCTTGTGCTCTTTCCCCTCCCCTCCCCCAACCCACAGAATGTCTCTGGTTTATAGTTGCCTGTTGATTTTGATTTTCACTTTATTATAGTTACCTTTTCCCCCCTGATCCTTTATTTGGATCCCCTACATCCCTCCTATCAGTGAAACCATCTGGTATTTTTCTTTTTCTTTCTGGCTTATTTTACTGAGCATGATCCTTTCCAGCTCCATCCATGTTGCTGCAAATTGCATGAGTTTATCTTTTTTGATTGCTGAGTAATATTCCATTGTGTATATGTACCTCATCTTCTTGATCCAGTCATCTGTGTTTGGGCATTAGGGTTGTTTCCATAGCTTACCTATTGTAAATAATGTTGCAATAAACATAGGGTGCAGGTGTCCTTTTGAATTAATGTTTTTGTGTCCTTTGGGTAGATATCTAGACGTGGAATTGCTGAAAAAAGGTATGTAATTTGGAAAGGTCAAGGCAGATTGTAATAGCAGTGGAGCAGAAACAGCTGTTAAACATTAGGAAGCCAAGGTTATATATACAAAGGAGCCCTTAATTTAAGATGTAAAGGGAAGATTCAATATCACAGAGATTAGCCATGATAATTGGGGGGAGATAAGGTCTGATAGACTTCTATTTTGGAGACAAGCAAACCAAGATAAATGAAGTCTAGTTAATGATATTGGGTCACCTGAAGAATGTTAAGAGAAGCAGAGGATACCCTTATTCAGTGGACATTCATGTATTTCTTACAGAAAGCTCTCCCATTATTTTCTTTGAGTGGGGGGAGTGTGGAGATCAGGGAAGGGTTCCAAGAACCTTGCCATTATAAACAAATGCTTTTATCTCCAAAGCAGATTTTTAAAAATTCCCAGTCTTTAGGGTTTTTTTGTTGTTCTTTTTCTAGTTCTTTGAGATGTGAGGTTAGGTTGTTTCTTTGAGTTCTTTCTTGTTTGTTGATGTGAGCCTGTATTGCTATATATTTTCCTCATATTACTGCTTTTGCTGCATCCCATACATTCTGGAAAGTGGTGTCCTCCTTGTCATTCAACTCAAAGTATTTTTTAAATTTCTTCTTTGATCTCCTCATTAGTCCAGTGGTCCAACCACTATGGAAAACTGTGTGGAAATTCCTCAACCTACTAAAGACAGAGCTTCCATATGATCCAGCAATTCCACTCCTAGGTATTTACCCAAAGGACACAGAAACATTAATTCCAAAGAGCACCTGCACCCCTATGTTTATAGCAGCACAATTTATAATAGGTAAGCTATGGAAACAACCCAAATGCCCAAAAATAGATGACTGGATCAAGAAGATGTGGTACATATACACCATGAAATATTACTCAGCATTCAAAAAAGATAAACACATGTAATTTGCAGCAACATGGATGGCGCTGGAAGGGATCATGCTCAGCAAAATAAGCCAGAAAGAAAGAGAAAAATACCGGATGGTCTCACTCATAACAGGAATCCAGAAAACCTAAATATGGACGAGGAAAAAGAATAACTATAAGAAAGAAAAAAATCAAAATCAACAAACAACTATGAACCAGAGACACTCTTGGTGGGGGTGGGTAAGGAGGGATTGGGGTCAAAATTGGGGTTGCAATTGTATGGGGAATATAAAAATTTTAAAAAAGTGAAAAGAAGATAAAAAAAAATTCCCACAGTCATCAATATTTACAGTTTCTTTAAAATTATCTGGAAAAGTAAGTGAAACTTTGGCTTTCTTCTTGAGACACACACTGACTCTAATATAAGAAAGCTGCCCAACTGTAAAAAAAAAATAATGCTTACCACTTATGCCTAATTGCAGAACAGCTGGTGGTCATTTAGTGTGGCTACTGGCTGTTACTCATTTCTTCATTTTCTCTTTATTAAGAACAAAAACTAAACACCTTTAATCAATTTAAAATCAGATAAAACTACCCTAAAATGCTAGGGGGTGGTGTCTGTTTTGTGGATAAGAATACTCTCTATCTGTCATGCTCAATCACTGAGTATAAAAGGGGTTGTGTGTTCCTGCCACCTCATTTTGTTTCCTAATTGGGGGGGGGGGTTGAGGACTGTGATTATAAGACATGAGAAGGCATGAGACATGGTAGTGTATCAATAAGCCATATCAATTAGGAAATACAGAGTTAAATTTTTTCTATAACAGCGTGAAAGATCAATGCCTTTAGAATATCGAAAATAAAACAATATTGTCCCTTTTGGGGGGATAAACAACTCCAGTACTACCACATCAGATTTCACCTGACTGCCAATTTTTGGTCATGCTACATATGTTCATCTGGGTTTTAAATTTAGTAACCAGAACTCCCACCCTGAAATCAATCCAAAGATGAGGCATTGCAGAGGTGGGGATTTGGCACAATGGAAAATGGCTGATGTTAGAGGATGGGGATGACCACAGACTCATTCCTGTAACCTGACACTGGCTAAGCAGAGACAGAACTTTGGACCTGATTCTCTCATGAAGGACCTATGAATGCCGTGGAGAATTTAGAAAAACAAACATGTATTTTCCTTGACTGAATCCCTGTGTCTATTTCCCCGAAGCCCCAGCTTTATTGAGATATAGTTACCATACAGCTGTGTAAGTTTAAGGTGTATAAAGTAAGTGTTGGCTTGTTACACTTACATATGGTTAGATGATGACCAATATGGCATTAACTAATACTTTCATCACAATACATATTACCATTTATTTTTCATGGTGAGGATATTTAATATTTATTCTCTTTGCAACTTTCACTATGTGATATAATATTAGTCACTACAGCCACCACATATACATTAGATCCCCAGAACTTAATTCACTTTGTAACTGGAAATTTATACCTCTTGACTAATGTCTCCCCATTTCTCTTTACACCAGGTCCATGGTAACAGAAACTCTCTGTCTAAGTTTGGTTTTTCAGATTTCATAAATAAGTGATACCATAGAGTATTTGTCTTTCTCTGCCTCATTTATCTCACTTAGCATAATCCTGCGCAAATGGCAGGATTTCCTTCTTTCTCGTGGCTGAAAATATTCTGCTGTATGTGTACCACATCTTTTTTATCTATTCATTCATCAATGGACACAAGTTGTTTCCTTGTCTTGAACAGTGCTGCAGTGAACATGGGAGTACAGCTATTTCTTCAATACCCTGTTTTCATTTCCTTTGGATATATACCCAGAAGCAGAATTGCTGGATTGTATGGTTATTCTATTTTTAACTTTTTGGGGAATCAGTCTTACTGTTTTCTATAGTGGCTGCACCAACTAACACACCCATCGATATTCCACAAGGGTTTCCTTTTTTTCCACATCCTCACCAACAGGTGTTATTTCTTTGATGATGGCCATTCTAACAGGCATAGGGTGATATCTCATTGTGTTTCTGTTTGTATTTTCTTGATGATTAGTGATATCAAGCATCTTTTTTATGTACCCATTGGCCATTTGTATGTCCTCTTTGGAAAAATGTCCATTTATTTCCCCTGCCCATTTTTTAATTGGATTGATATTTTTATTATTGAGTTGTGTGAGTTCTTTATATATTTTAGATATTAATTGCTTATCAGATATATGACTTGCAAATAGTTTCTCCCATCAGCAGGTTGTCTTTACTTTTTGTTGACTGTTTCTTTTGCTGTGCAGAAGCTGTTTAGTTTGCTATAGATCCACTTACTAATTGTTACTTTTGTTGCTTGTGCTATCGGTGTCCTTTTACTTTGTCAAGACCATCATCAAGTAACTTCTTCCTTATGTTTTCTTCTAGGAGTTTTATGGTTTCATGTCTTTAGTTCAAGTCTTTAATCCATTTGAATTAATTTTTGTTATGGTATAGGATAGGGGTCCAATTTCATTCTTCTCTATGATGTTATCTGGTTTTCCCAACACTATTTATTGAAGATATTCTCCTTCCCTATTGTGTCTTCTTGGCCTCCTTATTAAATATTCATTGACTGTATAGAAGAGAGAGAGAGAGAACATGAAGGGGAGAGAGAGAGAGAGAGAGAGCATGAAGGGAGAGAGAGAGAGAGAGAGAGAGAGAGAGAAGAGAGTAGAGAGAGATAGCTTATTTCTATGCTTTCATTTGTGTTTCATTGGTCTCTGTGTCTGTTTTATGCCAATACCATACTGTTTCAATTATAATAGCTTTGTAGTATAGTTTGAAAACAGTGACACCTCAAGCTTTGTTCTCCCTCTCAGGATTGTGTTGGTTATTTAGCATGATCTTTTGTGCTTCCATAAAAGTTTTAGGATTTTTTTTTCTGTTTCTGTGAAAAAAACACCATTGGAGTTATGGCAGGGATTGCCTTGAATATATAGTAGCTTTGGAAACTATATACATTTTAACAATATTAAAACTTCCAATCTATGAATATGAATTTCTTTCCTTTTTTTTTTTTGATGTTGCTTTTTGTTTCTTTTGTAAGAGCCTTGTAGGTTTCCTTCATTGGTTAAATTTATTATGTATTTTATTGTCTTTGGTACTATTGTGAGTAAAATTTTCTTTACTCCTTCTTCAGATATTGTTAGTGTCTAGAAACACAATTTCTGTAAGTTGATTTTTCTGCTGCAATTTTACTGAATTTGTTTATTAGTTCTAACAGTTTTTTGGTAGAATCTGGGATTTTTCATATATGAGATGATATCTGCCAAGACAATTTTACTTCTTCCTTTCCAATTTTTATGACTTTTATTTCTCCCCCCTCCACCTCCAATGGTTTGAACTAGAACTTCCAGTACTGATAGTCTACTAGAAGTGATATTGATAGAGGGAACCCTGCCTTTCTTTCTGATCTTAGTGGGAAATCTTAAGCCTTTCACCACTAAATATGTTAGTTTTGTCATATATGACCTTTACTGTGTTGAAGCATGC